GGGTAAATACTAATATAAGTAAGACTTAAATTTTGTCACTGTAAGTCACTCAATTGAACATGGTCATCTCTCACTTCCTGAACGCTGCAAATTATTACTAGAGAGAGAGAAAAATAGATTTTAGAAAGTTCCTAACACATCAGCTTTCCATCTAGACAAAGAACTGGTAATCAGGATTCTAAGGATAATATATAGCTTGAAAAGATATATTTAATGGAACATGAGAGGGGGCTAAAAGGTTAAAAAGTTTTCATCTCAAATTCTAAGCTCACAGTTGGTGGATACTGAAAAACAGACTGTAACCTTTTCCTATTTATCATATACTTCTTATCTATTTCCTCAGCATTTATGACATATTTCCTCTCATAACAACTGAACTTTTACAACCTAAAACAAAGGGAATAGAAATTTAAGTCATATTTTTAGAATTCAAATAGATTTCACTATGACATAGTATGCATATTATATTACCTGTATCATCAAATAGATTTCATTATGTTAGAGTGTGCATGTTATATTACCTGCAGCATGATGCAGAATTCCATGTCTCTTCATGCATTCACATTCAAAAAATACTAAAATGCTTCTTACATTAAAGACCTTATTCTAGGTGCTCCAGGAAATGCACAATTACGTTCCCTAATCTCTAGCGGTGTATACTGATGCAGGCGCTATAAAATGAATATGGAAATAACTATACTACAAAATATCTGAAACTTGAAATTTTAGAATGGGACACGAGGACTGTACATACTTTTAAAAACTATAATACAAAAGAATTCTGAAATAGGTTTCATCATATGGTTGTTATTAAGAGTCTACTTTTAAAGCTGGCTGTTATTTCAGGGAAAACATTCTTCAGTTAGATGCAGAGTTTTGAATATACTCGTAATGGGATAATTTAGAAAACACAGAGGAATCTCTTTATAATATGGAATTTGAGAAACAGAATTTTAATTTCTAAATTTCTAGAATTTCAATTATTATTTTAGTCTTAATGCAGAACCAGAGATAGAAATAAAGTAAAAACAAACAAACAAAAAACCCTCTTTCCTTAAAACTCTCTGATACCAAAATAAAAAGTGTCCAAGGGGGAAAAAAAGACACATGTTACACAGTTTTGGAACTGAAAGGCCCAAAGGAAGAGTTCATGATTATCACAGTAAGTAGCTGTGTGCACTGAAGATGTCCCTGAGGCACGAGTATTATACAAGTGCTATTAGTGTGGTTTAAAAGTCAAAGAATCCTTATCCTTGGCCAAGCTTCACACTTCCTCTGTTGTGGGAAATCTTTTAACAGTACAATTTTCCTGTCACGATCTATTTTCTAGTCCATTTTGCTTCAGCCTCATATTCAGTATTTACAAAAGTAAAAAAAAGAAAAAATTCAACCTGCCATATTTTTATAAAATGGTTTACTCTGACCAACTTTCTAATACAAATGTAAAACAATTATAGGCAGACCATTGCTAAATTTTAAGAGTAAATACTATGAAAAACTAAATTCACAGCAGAAAAATTAATTTCACAAGAAAACACTTTACCTTGGGAGCAACATCTAAGTCATCATCCGATGGAGGCCGTGAATCTTCAATATCATGTTTGGGTGAAATACTTTGGAGCAAAAATACACATCAAAAATCAGTGAGTTCATTTCTTTAAACAAACAAAAGTCACAAAAGTCTATGCTGAGGGATAAGAAAGCAGATTTGGGAGCCAGGCTGCCTGATGGTTAAGTCACAGGTCAACTACTTGTTAACCATGGAAGTCAGCTAGTCAACCTCCTTAAACCACAGCTGCCTAATTAACAGTAAGCTATAACAGCACAGCTACTCTGCAAATCTGTTGTGGTGACTGTTCGAGGTAACAAATGCCAAGTACATAACACGGTGTTTAACCCAGAGTAGGACTCTCAACAAGCCTTGTTTCTTTTCTCTGTGTTCCCTCAGTCAACATGTAATTTTTAAAAATCCATAAAATCCTACCTGATGACATCACTCGGTGAAAACTCAACCACTACATCTGCTATTAAAGAAAAAAGTAAAATAGATTTATATCAGCAATATGAAAATACAGAATATAAAAAGTGTATAAGACCAATGTTCTGTTAAAAAGCATTCCTTTGGGACCACACCTGTAGACTACACACTTAAGTGAATACTGAGTATACTCCTGGTAGGTAATTAATGCATAAAAACCACTTTCCCTCCTTCATATTTATAAAAAAAAAAGTGTTTATCCAAATTTGATATCTTGAAGTGAACTGCTGTTTACAAGGACCAAAATCCCAACCAAACTTTCTGAGACTCACAAAAGAATGACAATCATTAGTAGAATCAGTATCATAATCTGACAAAGTCAAACTTACATAGCGTGGTGTTTCTGGACGACACCCATGGGACTAACCCACCCTGCCATTTGGCTTTGTCAGCCTCATGTTATCTGGGCACAGTCATCCCTATTCGCTCACATGCGGTCTAGGGCTGCCTTCACACTGCAATGGCAGACATGAGTGGATGTGACAGACACCACATGGCCTAAAATATTGACTCTTTGGCCCTTTATAGAAAAAGCCTGTTCATCCCTGCTTTACGTCATAACAGGAAACCCTAAGACTCAAATCAAATCTTCATACTCTTCTGCTCAACATTCTTCAGTGAATCCATGCGGCTTCCATTGCTGAGTCCCAACTCGACAACCATTTCTTCATCATCCTTGCTGGACAATTGCAACTTTTCTTGGATATTCTCTGCTCCAGTAGGCGAAGAAGGTAAACGCTCCTTAGCTGCAAAAAGAGAAATGATTATTCTACAGTCATCACAGTAACTACATTTCCTTTCCCAGTGGCTGGTTTAGAAATGAGCATGTGATGTAGCCCAGCCAATAAGATGCTAAGGGAAGTCTACCGGAAGCGTCTCTGTTTTCTTCCTCGTTAACAGAAAACATGCAGAGAGAAGCAGCCCTCCTTGCCTGCAGATACGGTCATGTAAGAATATGATGCTTGGAGCTGCTGCTAATCAGCAGACCAGGAAAGGTGACATCAAACACCAGCAGCCTCACAGCTGAAGGAGAGATAGCATCTGGGGTCCTGATGACATCACCGAACCTTCTAAACAATCCTGACTCCTGTTGCTGTAGCCACTGTTACTTAGGTCTCAGTATTATTTGCAGCTGAAAGCATTCTGACAAATTCCCCAAGGTCTACAGCAGACCTCCTCCTTTGTATAGTACTAGAAAGGCTTTCAGAAGCGTGCCTGAGCTGGGGAGTCACCTCGTTCCCAACCATTCCTACAGCATCCCTTTTGCACCAACAAAATGAAACTCACAGATCCTGCAAAGTTCACTGGCACATGTTAGCCTTTGCACCGCTGTCCTTTCTGCCAAATGTAATCTTCAAACATGTTCCACCCACCAAACACTGCCCTTCTGCCTCCTTCCCTGGCAAACTTCTACTCGCTCTGCGTGGCTTAGCTGACATCCTACCCACTTTTAAAAAACTTCTTTCCTCACCATATTTGGCACATGTTAAATACCAATAAAAAATACATAAAGACAGTTACAAAGTCCTAGTGGGCTCTGGGACACAGTAAGCACAGACTAAAGTAAAGCAAATCATAAAAATGAGGATGACAGTAACAAGCTCCTGGAGGCCAGGAACTGTGCTTTTTGACCTGTTTGCATTCTGTAACGTCAGAGTGGTGCTTAGTACCTAAAAGACACTTGATAGTCATCTGTTAAGGGCATGAATTAACAGATAAGAATGTTTTCTTTGAAAGTCCTGTTTAAAAAAATACAGACATTAACCAGGGAAAACTCTGTTGTGTTATGAGCACCTTGAAGACCAAAACCCTGTCTATTCTATCTTTGTATTTCCTACAACAGAAGTTCTTTGCTTGATCAAGGTCTACCAAGTTAAAGGTGCCCTCATACAGTTCAGACCGAACAGCATGCTAGGGGTCACATCTAGGCAACACAGTCTTCTTTTTTTTTTTTAATGTGAAACACTTCTGTGCCTTTATTACAATTTGTTGAGTCCTGAGTTGTGCTATATGAGTATTTATTATGACAATCCTTTAACTAATGGCAATAGAAATTCTTGTTCCAACAAAACATAGTTTCATGACAAGTATCCCCAAAAAAGAGAAGAAAACATCTGACTCTCATGAAGGCAACATGTCGCACTCTGTTTGCACTTCTGAGGAATGAAATTGGTGAGAGAGAGTGCTTGTTGGTGTAATGATGTGAAAAGTAACCAGTGGTGCTTCTCAACAAGGCACTGCTGTCCTGACTTCTGCCCTATCACTAGGTACCTTTAAAAAACAATCTCTTGTTAGTATGCTGCACACTGGCCCAGCTGTTCTAATTGTTGGCCATTTGTTTATAGCACCAGGAAGGTATTGCCAAGCTCCCAGTTTTAAAGACAATCACTTTTTAGTGAGGCTAATCACTATGCAATAACTAGCATTCATTTACCCAATGTAATCCATTTGCTGTAAAAACTAATGATCCAGTTCTGTAATAAGGCCAACTTGTTATAATGTTACAGGAAATGTATAACAAAGTTAAAAACCTGTTTTTTGTATTTACACAAACATATATTATGGGATTCCAGGGGCCATGATTAAATAAATGAATTTCTTTTCAGACAATATTGTCTCAGATTTTAAACTACCTACAATTAACTTCTTAAATAATTCTGAATACTAGACCATTAAGAAAACATTAATGAAAAAATAAAAACACACATGAAATTTACACACAGGC